AAGATCGAAACCGGCCATCTTGTGTATTGCTCGAACTTGTTTCGTGATGTCAGCTGCTTCTTCTTCTGTGTCGAAGCTATCGATATAGTCATCGACATAATGGTAGTCCAGTATCGATTTCACGGCTCGGACAGCACCACTGACTTTTTTGCGATACTCTAACGCGTTGATCTTCTTCACATAGTTGGCGGCGCAAGGCGAACATGCTGCTCCAAAGGTCATTACGCGCATCTCATACACTTCAGGCTGTCTGGTGGTATCACCATTGCGCCAAAGAAATCGTTGCGCACGTCTATCGTCACGTTGAACCAGCACCTGGTGGAACATCTCTTTGATGTCACCACACACGCTTATTGCTCCTTCACGAAAGTGAAATAGTATAGCAGGCAAAGGCCGATATTCCTGTGGACCCTTCATGAGCTGTGAATTGAGGGACTCACCGTCCACCTCAGCAGCCGCGTCGAACACCATACGTAACTTGCCTGGCTTGTTGGGATTGCAGACGGCGAAGTGAGGCAAGTACCATGTCCTATCGTTAGTTAAAGCGGCTTCTTCTGGCGACAGCTTTCTTGCGTAGTTCTTCGCGACGTAGGAATTCATGATGCGCTTATATTCAGCGGCAAAGTTTGTATCGCGCCTCATTTTTGCTTCAATACCCGCTAATCTCCTCAAGGCCATAGCATAGCTCGCAGGTAGCTGTATGTCGGGACGCTTCCAGAGCAGACCAGTCTGATATCTTCCTTCAACACGGCACGTAGTGGACCTCAAGATTTCGCGAGCACGGATATCTGCTTCACTCTCGATGGCAGGCGCAGCTCGAACCCCAAAGCTTTCCGTCTCGAAATATTCGGCAACCGCATTGTGTAGCGACTGCTCAGTGTGGCAGTTAACGAATAAACATGATGGCAATGTCGGATAAGAGTTGGTTGTTGGTCCAAACACAACCCATCCCAACTCAGTATTCGCGGCAAACGGCCCACACTTGTTTAGCTGCATTGCGGTTGACGGCAAACCAAGGTGGCAGTGGTCGAGTCCGATTAACAGCTTTGGCTTGACTTGCGCGTATGGCTGAACTGCCAGCTTATTTAAATGTTTTTCATGGCAACGCAAATCGGCTTTACTCAGGCTCTGAGAAAGTAGCTGCAGGCTTGAAATACCATAAACCCTTCGTAGTTTATGTCTCTTTTGCGTATTGGCACCACTCACGAGTAAGTCTACCACTCTCTTAGCTCTTGGGTGGCACGTCCTCCGAACCACTGTAGGTTCAAGCGTTCAGTCCGGCCACGTAACCCGAGCTCTTCAATTAGTGCGTTGTCAAGCATTGTTATTGACGAACCTTCATCAAAAAGGGCGTACGTCTCAACGCGCTTCTGGTTCCCATACAGCACGACCGGCAGAATCCGAAATAACAACTTGCTATCGGCAACGTTTGCACTGCAACTAAGGACTGCTACACCCGTATCGCCTTGCGACTGAATACGCGACGCTGGCTGCGTCTGCGTGCTAATCGTTTTACGTGGATCGGCAATGGAAACACGTCTGTTGCGATCTCGAGGCGGCAATGACTGGTTTGATGACCCGTCGATAGTTTTTTCAATTTCGTGCAACAATTTATGATGAAACCGTTTGCACCCGTCGGTGGCGCATGGTTTGCGCCTTTGGCAATTGCGCGACCCATGTCCAGCGTTGAGACATGAGAAACAGAGATGGCGTCGCTTCACTTCTTCCCACCTCGTCGGCACTGTAAGTTGGCTGAACTGGCTACAGTCGGCTGGCTTATGTTGGCCCTGACAAATAGGGCAAGTTGGATGGCGTTGTGATTCGGCAGCGTGCAGCACAACCCGGTGCTTCGAGTCTCTCGCTGTTTCCCCGTCGTAAACCGTGCAGATGACATTGGCAAGTTTAGTAAGCCAATCGCTGAAATGCTGAACCGTTGCATAAGGCTGCAAAGACGATGCAAAAACTGCCCAATCGATACGCTTGCTCATGGGTAACTTTCCAACGAGCTCATCAAGAAGCGTTGGATTCGCTAAATGCTGCTCTCCGCCACACGCAGAACGTAAAAATGCACAAATGTTGGCAATCTTCGTCGCAAATGGTATCAACTTTACCACTGAGCTTTCCGATATCGGAGCAATTTCTCGAACATGGGCTAGTTGGCTTCGAATTAATTGTTCCGGGCGACCGTATCGGAACCTAAGTTGCTCGATGATATTGCCCACATTGTTCGGGTGGATAAGCAGCGATTTAATAGCCTCTCGGGCCTCACCCCTTAAGCTCTTCTGCAGGCGTAAGTTGTTTTCAAAACAGCTGTACCCATAGACAGCGGTTGACTCGGTGTAAGCAGTAAAAAATATCGGCCAGTCCTCCGGCTTCCCACTAAACTCCGGCAAATCTTGCAATTTTCTTGGCTGAGTTGAAAACTGCGCAGGTACGGAGCCTACGTTAGCAGGAATTGGCACCGTTGACGAAAGACTGTTAAGAAACGCGTCGTGCGGAGGTAAAGTCGAGCTGGGGTACATACCATTTGCTGTTGTTACAGCTGAACCATTTGTTGAAGATGTGTAAATGGGCGGCGAGACACGAGTGGCGGTATACATCGGGCAACGTGTAGCGTTATGAGGTGGCAACAGCGGCTGCACAGCATCTACATTGGTAGCAGCACTCGTTACGATCGGCGATTGCGGGTGAAGAAGCTGGAACTGTGTCATTGGCAGGCTCGATGACGGCAAGGCAGATTCGTTGGCGGAACTGTCGCTGGGTGCACTGGATATGCTTTGCGCATCTGCGCGTTGGGCTTCGTTTGCTAACTCGTCTTCTCTTATTTTCTGTTGGGCAACCTTCAGACTGCGTTCAAGCGTGGCGATGCGTTTCTGCATAGCCTGAAACATCGCTTCCTGGCGGGCGGCAGATGAGGCACGAGTACTAACTCCCTCGGCTTCGGGAGTGTTTGGCAAATCAATGATGTCGGCAGCAGTGCCGGAATCCGATACTAACTTCGGCGGGTCGGCCACTGAGGCAGATGTAGTGGCTTTAGAAACTGGTGAACGCATAGTCATATCATGGACGTCGGCACGAAGACTTACGCATGCAATGCGGCTAATTGCAAGATTAAACAAAGCGGCAGGTTCTTTATGAACGGCAAATAAAAATATGAAATGTATGCGAGTTGCAAATAAACTCCTTAATTCAGTGTATAAAATACGGCTAAATTATTCGCCTGGCTGGCAAATGCGAAATTCGACTTTTCAGTCCCACATACAAATAATTCCAATAAGAACAGTTACAGTTCTTGTTCGTTTGCGGCGGCAAGTGCACAAAATGTACGTATGTGTATAGGCGATGACTGAGGAACGTCGAGAACTTTCCATAAACGGCAATCAGTCAGTGAAAAAACTATGTATTTCACTGCGAAATAAAGAAATTGTCGTCAACCCGCTTGCGAATTTAACGCAAGTAACGTTGTCAAAAAAGGCGCATACACAATAATAGTCCAATGACGTATTACTTGGTTTATTTCTGTTCGATGTAAAGACTTGTTACAAAGATATAATTGAAAATACTTTAGGAGTTACTTACCGCAGTGTGTCCTTCACTCGATCCCTTTGGTTGACGACTGACTTTGAGGTTGACTTGCGCCAGCAGATCAACCAAATTATGGCAGCGGTAATCGAGTGAACGACACATTGCGGTATGTATGTACACAAAAAACCTAACATTAATTTGTACATACATATTTACAAGGCACAACTCCGCGACAAACAACTCCAATGCTTTGCCTACATGCATGTACATATGCATACGAACAGAAAAACAAAACGAAAAAGGCAATACTGCATTGACCGTACCTATTCCGCGGACATGTACATATGTACATACGTGCATGCAAAGAGTTAGCGGCAAATTAAATACATGGGATACATAGGGCACTAGTAACACATATGTGTACATATGTATCTCAAAATAATGAGAGTAACATATGTATGTATGAAAGGTATTTGAAAATAAATGAGAACATCGAAATGGAATACATTAAAAATAA